GTTACTGAATTATTCAACCACAAGGCATGGCTTTTCTTTGTCCTCAGTTTGCTCTTCATAATTTTACACCTGATCATTTAAACGTCATTTTCTTTGACTACCTGAAACTTTAAACTACATCTTTCCACCTCACAATTGCATAGTGAAGTGTATGGGGCTGATGTGTGGCGCGGTGAGATTGCTTGTGATTGGAAGGTTGATGGTTCAAATGCCAGAGTGATGTCTCCATCGGCCCTCTGATGAAGGCCCTTAAATCCCTAATTCCTCCAGGGACTGTCTCACCCTGCTTTCTGAAAAAATGTGTCTAATAAATACATTAATTAAATCTATACAGTATAATACTTTCAAAAATAATCCCATAGATATACAATAATTCCTGAAGTTCTTGATGCAAAAATAAACAAAAGGCCGATCTGTGGATATCAATGCGTCACATCAGTGGGTGTAATTTTGCTGCAGATTCTACCTCTTGGTGCATTAACAGCTCAAGGTGTTTTGCTCAATATTAATATTACTGATAAGAAACATTTAAGTTTTCCTCTCTCCTGAGACTCATTTGTGCAACTTTGGTCTACTGAGCTTTCATTGGTGTCCACCATCATCCCACTGCTAATTAATTTAGCAGGAGTGGACGTCACTGGAGGGATTTGCTAACGAGCTAATGTCTCTGGTCAGATGATTCTCTAATTAACGAGCCATTTCTGCAAGTGGCTACTTTATTCAGAATTTTTACCCTTTGGGTCCTGGAGATCCATGATGACAAGAGGCTGGTTTTTGGTTTGGTTCCGAGCAGCCTGATTTTCGTGCAGGAATCGCAATCACCATGGGGCTTGGAGTAACTTAAGAGCTGGGCTCAATCACGGTCATTCAGATTGTTATTCAGATGGCTCCTGAAATCATTCTTATTCATCATTATTCAGGTAATAGCCCCTTATCTTGTGTTTCACACAGAGGCCAAATTACCCCGCTGGAGACCGTCTTAACCTGGATAGCCTTTTACTGTTAATCATCAGACCATGGATAGTGTCTTGTAAAATACAAAGGAGCTCGCAACATTTGGACCGCAAAAGTCTGGGCTGAACCAGAAGTTGTGCATTGAGTGTAAGGCAAAGTCACCAAGTACACTGTGTCCATCTACTCCATCTGTCCATCTACTCCAACTGTCCATCTACTCCATCTGTCCATCTACTCCAACTGTCCATCTACTCCATCTGTCCATCTACTTCTGATGGCGGCCCCTGCGGCTTTGGGAAATGGTATCTCCCTAGTTCTGGTTAAATCTCATGAACATTTACAAACTGACCCTGCGAACCACCCATCAAGGTAGCTGGTACGACTGATGTCTTTGGCTTTATTTATTACACATTCGTTACACCGTAATTTTAAAGGTTAATTCAATAACGGGTCTGTGACATTATATCATACCCAGGCTGTCTGACATGTGCAAATGTCTTATTCTTTAAAATAACATTCCATCCATCCATGCATGCATGCATCCATCCATCCATCCATCCCCCAAGTGCTCATACAGTACAGGGTGTCAGATCATCATTTTTTTTATATCCGGAAACATTTACAGGTAAGATAAATGTAATTTCTCATTATAAACCTTAATGAACTTTATTCTGATTTGATACGAATATGAAGGTATAAATGTATATGTCAAATCAGGTGGGGCAAAGAAGGCAAGTGGAAATGGTGTAGCTATGCATGTCTTCCGTCATACTGTATTTCTTAGTAATTGAGAAGGAGAATGCTAACTGTTGATTTTAATAATCGAGAAATTGAGTTTAATCAGGTAATCGTGACAGTTCTACTTTGGGCTGGAGCTAATAAACTTTTTACTGATGGTACAGGTCTGCCATTATGCCCCCTGCTGGATGGGTTTGCTATTGCACAGTGATGATCTGAAACCCAGCAGGATGGTGAAATAAGGGCACGGACATGGCGTCACCCTCAATCCAATGTCCTTTTTTCTGTCCAGTATTTGCTTCTGCGCTCATATTTTAACAGTGGAATTCTGGAGGCTGTTTTTTGTTGCGGTGACGTCTGTCACATTCGCATTAGGCAGCACAACAATGGGCCTGGCCCATCTGCGTCTGGACCGAGCCGGGTCTGCAGCTCACAATGGGCCCAGGCACGTCTCGGCACGACCGATAAGGACCTGGCACCCAGTCCAAGTGGTTGGGGGAGATAAGCCATCCAACCCCCCCCCCCCGTCCCCCCAGACTCCCTGCATTGAGGCGTTAGTGGGATCCCTAGGGATGGTGCTCCATGACCACACATGGCTATTTGCAAATTCGCTTTGTACAGCTCTTCTGGGCTGGAGAGTGTCAGACCTACCCGTGGATTAAAATCATTACAGAGTTCAGTCAGGGCTCTTTTGGAAATTGCCAGTAAGTACTGCCCCCCCCCATCCCCCCCGCGAGGTAAACCCTACAAATGTTTCCACTTACAGATACAAAGGTGATGAGAAACATTAGCGGTCGCCTTGGTAACCCCTGTGTTGACTATAAATGGCTTGGAACACCCGATGCTTGGTTTCGGAAAAGCGTGTGACCCACGAACCCCTGGATTTTTTAACCCCCTCCCCCCAAACTTTTGCGTGGTCATTGTCATGATGCCGCGGCATGTGACTTCTTCATATTGCCCCGCCCCCTTGATTCTCTTTGGGTAGCTTCATGCACCCTTTTGTAAAGAAAAATGCAGTGATGGGCAGAGCATGTGAGCGGAGTGGAGCGGAGCGTGAGCGAGGAGCGGAGCGGACGGAATTTAGTCAGAGCACGGAGCGATTTTTTAATTAAGGCTGGACCGGTCGCTCCAGAATTCATCTGTAAAATTATCAAGACTGTTACACAAATTGGCCAAGATGGAATTCGCAAAGTATTTCACAAAGGAAACTGATAAATCATACAAATGTACTATTCTTATCAAACGTAAAGATTACAATAATGTAGAACAAGAACAACAATGTTTCAGTGAGTAAAGATTCATTTTGGAATCACTTTTCTCAGAAACATGAGAGTGTGCTACGCGAACAGGCGGAAGCCAGAGCAAAACATGAGCAAGTTTTATATGGTTGTAGCATATCAAGTCTATAAAGTAAATAAAAGTATAAAAGCCTTAAGTAAATATTAATAATAAAATTAATTAGTTTTGTCATTCAAAGTAGGTCTAATAGGATTTTTTAATTTCATGTAACGCTGTCAGTGAAATTTTATTTTATAGAGAGACGCAGCAGCAGCATCAACAGAAAAAAATTGAGGAATTTAAAGCATGGATGCTTAGCCTGTATATTCTTTAGGCTATTAAGCCCACTGATTCCTTTATTATTAAGCCTATTTTTGTATGGAATGTCACTGCCAAACCTGTCCGTTATTGCCTATATGTTGTTTAAAAATAAACATTTTCTGTTCTGAGTGACAATGTTGCCATTGCTCATATTTCTTTATGATATAAGGCTTCGGTTTAAGGTGACATTTGTTAGGCATGCAGATTATTTGTCGCTCTTTTAACCTCCTGAGACCCGGTAATTCATTTAGTTTTTGCTTATATCTCTCATACTACTCATGCCACTTTGTTAAGTCCTGTTGTGTCTTAGAGAGGACAACCGTAGCTTTAAAATGATGTCACATGTGTGGGGGTGTGACCTTGCCAACTCCCCTTTTCCTGTCTTTTCAAAATGGCTGCCATCTCCACAAGCACATTTTATAGAAGAAAGAAAGGTAAGCATGATAAGTATCAGAGATGGGGACAAGTCGCATATGATCAAGTCCAAGCAAGTTTCAAGTGTTAACCATCAAGTCTCGAGTCAAGTCTC